TACGTACTATCTCTCTCTCTCTCTCTCTCTCTCTCTCTCTCTCTCTCTCTCTCTCTTTCTCTATCTGTTCTTACAAATCGTCTTGCCTGAGGATATACCCTTTGTAAGATTCTGTGAAGGAATTTCGTATAATCTACCGTGCATGACGCCGACGCATAACACCGAAAAACGGAAGCGACTTTCCTCCTCGCCGCTTTCAAAAAATCGCGTCTCTCCTCCTAGATTAGATGTGAAATCACCTCGGAAAAACTTCCGTTTCCTTTTTTTTCTCTCTCTTTCTTTTCCGTCATCGAGGACGGAAAAAAATGATGACATAGCGTGAAATTGCGATCTCGTCATATGGCCTCGAGAAATATTTACCTGGTGGCTCGCACTCCCGACTCCTGTTGGCCTTTAATTAATGAGCTTCCATCCTCGTAGTCTCGTTCAGTCGAACGTTTCGTCGGCGGTACTCGGGGCAAAGATTGGATTCCAATCGATAGCGGTCCCTTGCGATGTGCGACAAGAACCGAAATCGTACCGTGTATACCGTGAGGAAAAATGTCGAGTCTTATCTGCGGCACTCGTTAAGTCGCATCGCGTCGCACGTCGGGCCGGGCGGACTAATGATCGCTTTTACCACTTGCAATTACACAGGCCGCGTCAGGGCGCCGCGTACTCAAGCCGGGAGACGGCATATTTTTTTTCTCCAGCCAGTGAAACAATGCAGACCGTCGGAAAACGATGGCTATCGCGACGACTATCGATCCCACGCGCTCGTAAAGCTCGCGAGACTCGCGCGACGCTGTATTATATTTCTCGCGACGCGGAGATGATATGTTGCTCGATTGTAAAGAGAGAAAGCGACTCGTGGATACGTTTGCGGATACGCCGTCGAACGATTTTGTCACGCACGTCTCGTGTCACCATCGCAGGATTTTACTCCAATCCGTTCACCGTGATCCTCCTCCGCGCTCTCGCCGGAGTTTCCTAAGTCAAAGATACGTTTTCCGAACGATTTGTCGCAGCCGGAGGTTTCCATCAAGAATTTTATTAATACGATACGTGACGAATCTCGGTGGATCGTGATGCACTGCTTCACTGCTATTTCATATATATTTCACTGATATGCTTTCACAGATGACTCGTCACGTACAGCGTTTTGGACTTGCTGACCGGGATCTTGCTTAATCTCGTACGTGACCGAGCTTGGCGGGTCGTGATGAGCAACTTTTCTACTTCACTTGGGTCATTGATATGTTCTTCGCAAAGGTTCGCCAATTATCCGCTTCCTGATAAACCCTGACAAATTGCACGATCCTAACCTTTAATGATACTTCCTCGAGTCGTTGATATGTCGAATCAATCGGACGCACGCGATGCCGTGCGAGAAATCAGGAAAAACTTTACTATACCTGACAAGTCTCGGTGGTATCTAATGCATGATTCCAGTATTCTACGACGGCTGATTCTGAGTAATTGAACGGAGCCTCGCGGAAATATTTACGTTCGGCATAGATATTCGATCGACTACGAGTCGTGTTCCTGGAGGTATTTTCAAGTACCGCCCAACGAGTTGAACATCGCGCGCGCACTGCACTCACTTCCTCGAACCTCACTTCGTTCACTAGTCACCAGGCCAATTCAGATCGTCAGGCCTCCGCGAGGACGGCCATCGAACGCGTGCATCGCGGCAAAAAAATATCCTTATTCCAGAAAAGGGGTTCGCTCTCCGTATCAGTATCCACGATCCATCTTAGGACGGATCACCCGGAGGTCTCTTCATCTCTCGAGGGGTGAACTCTCGGTTCGCGAACGTCGGACGACCAGGACGTAAATCGGCAGGATCGGGGCGGAACGTCCTCGGCGTCGGTACGCGCCGGTATGTCGCGAGTGTTCACCGGATGTACCGGGGGGCGGACGACGAGAAAAAGAGAGACAGAGGAAGAGAGAGAAAGAGGGAGGAACGTCAGCGGACGCGAAGGCTCGGCACGCGAGTTCGCCGGCCGACTGAAGTACGGTTCGGCTGTCAGTCGACCCCGCACCCGAAACTCGACTCGTCTTCGTCGAACGAGTCCGCCGTCTCCGTCGGCTTTCCCTCGGGGACACGGGGTGGCTCGGGGGCGCAGAGGGTAGGAACGGAGCGAGCGCGGCGCGCCTGCGCCAGGTAAATCGGCCGACGGTGGTATTCGTTGCACTTGCTATCCACCACTCGGTGCTCTCTCGTTCTACGATGCATATCCGAAGCGCGATACAACGAAAGAATTGATATCGAGACGACATCGATAAATTGATTTGAAAGCATGCAGAGCATTTCTTTCATCGAAAAAAGATTATTGCGACCGACGACATTTGTTTCTTGATCATTACTAGCACTCGTTAACTGCAACGCGTATCGTAATACGCGAATGAACACTTTAAAAAAACTCTAAATTGTGCCTCTAAATTTTGTACATCAATAAATCGATTTATTAAATTAACATAAAAATTGAGATATATTCATATATCGTATAAATAATATCTCCTTTATCGAGAAAAATTAAAACTTGGAAGATCATTTCTTGATTATTTCTTGAACATTGTTTATATCTATTCTTTGCAATATTCAATCGCATAGGTCATCTAATGGATCAGTGAATCGAGAATATAACGGATTTTCAACATTGAATTTAGAACTTATTTTAATTTTCTGTTTCTCTTGATATATATTTGTTCAATTTCTATCAGCTTGATACTTGTATATTCTTAACAGAAAGTATACAAAATCACATAAAATAATAAAGTTAACTTAATAAAATAATATAATGTAATTTCTGATGAGAATCTTATTATGAGATCAGAGCAGACAAAGATTCCGAAAATATTATTTCTAATAATATCATCACAGATCGAAAAAGTAACAAAGTTTATACTGACTCGATTTAGATTATCAAATCAGTTATAGATGAATAAATATAATATTATCTGTTTTCTTTTCCAATACCTCTATATAATTTATATTAAAATCTCATTATATATCCTATTATATCCCATTTATTCAATATTAAATAAATGCTTTTTCAGGTTAGGATAAATAATGTTTATCATCTTATTATAAAATTATTGCGTCGGCAGTTACTTTAAAAAAAACTTATTAAATTACTTAAATAATTGAGTCTTATTGTCACGATTATGTTTAGCATGAACTCCATCTATCGTTACCTTTGTAGAAAATTATAATTTGCTATCGATCGAAAAATCAAAATTTTCACTTCTTCGATGTTCAATTATATTATCAATCAGCGTGTCTACGCTAATATGCATAGCGCGATATAAATCAATTTCAGAGCGGCAGTCTTGTGCCTTCGTACACTCGATGGACTTCATTCTAATGAGATTTTATCGCACATAGAGATTTCTATAACCCATATTTCACAAACATCCGTTATAATTATAACGTATAAATCAGGTATAGCATATATATCGGTCAACAGTCTAAATACATTCTGGATATGCTTTCGCGACAGAATTTGAAATTATATAATACAAAGGTTATTATCTACTACTATACTATACTCTACTATAAAGTCATCTCTCTTATTTTGTCTCGCTTGACGATATAAATCGTTCTAAATTAATAAGCGTCTGTGGCGATTAATCAATCAGTTCATTTATTGTCAAGCGTATGCCACAATTTTCTACGGACAACCCGCAGAATCTCGATCCCACATCGCACGTTCATTTGCCTCCCCCTCCCCCTCTAAGTCCACCCCTGTGTGCGCTAACGATTCGATGTGGGAAATCAATCACCCCCGAAACCACTTCCGGCGAACTTCGAAGGCACGTCTCGTCGCCGACCATCGGAGTCGAGATTCCTCGAGATGATCGCGGTTCATGCTTCGTTCCGTTTCTGCTGATGGACAAACATTGCCGAGGACGATATACTAAAGGAAGATATTTCGGAATGTGATTTCCCCCTTTGCACAAAGCGGATCTCGGGCCCCCGCTCAAGCGCTAATCAATCTATTTCGTTAATTTTCCCGATCCGATTGATTTCACCGCGAACCTACAGCCCGCATTTGCATTACGTAGATTTTGCATTTAAGGAGAAAGAGCTCGAACCGAATTAAATCCGAGACCCAAGAATTCCCGCGATCGCGATTTGTTCGCTATTTTTAACTGTTGATATCTTGATGTGACCTATTACATATCTATTTTCATATCTACCTACCTTACAATTACTTTGTTGTATAATTAGATCTGTTTTGAACGAGTCGTAAAAAACGTTACGACATGTAACATTATAACCTAGTTGCATATCTAATGCTTCCAGCGAATAACCAACTAAATATATCGACACGGTTATTGCCAACCAATTCAGTGCCCGGCCAAAGCAGTTCTCATTATTGCTGATTCAGCAATTTCATTAGTTTTCGTAGTTCGCTCAACGTACCTCGGAGTAATAATCCCAAATTAGATTATCGAGCTTTACGATGCATAGCTGATGCATAAATAAAATAAAAATAATAACCGAGAGAACAAGTATACCCAAGATGTTCGTGATTTACATGTTCATTAAACGAGAAAATGTTAAAGATATTTCTTACACAAATATATTATTCATTAGATTTCATCCAAATTTATTCTAGCAAAATATTGCGAAACTTTGCAAAGAACTTTTCATTTCATTTCGTGAAAGGAAATCGGAGATGATAAAAGGCGTCGCGTTAATGATGAAAGAAGCAGAGTAAACGTCCATGAAGACAAATACTTAGGACAGTCAGTCGGAACCTCTTCCTCGTCTAACGATCATAGACAATAACAATAATCGAGATAACGCACGCAGCGGCACTCCGCGAGATCCGTTTAGTCCCTAGCCAAATTGCCAATATTATCAGTTATCGGATTATTACGGCAAATTGTTCGCGTTTGCCTTTACCAACTAGCCTACATACTGCGACCCCTGTGGCGACCCGACGTCCTCGATCTCTCTGTTCCCTCCCGCCCTCTCCCCCTTCCCCATCGCCTTGCCCCGTGCTCTATCAGAATTCGCTCTATTCGTCTTTACCCTTCGTGACCGATAGAAGCGACATTCTGAATGTTGCGACCAGGTGCGATCAGGTCGTTCACATTAAACTTCATAGATGATTTCATAGCGAAGTAGCACGGATGAAGCAGCATGAAGAGGAGATCAAAAAATTATTCCGTTATTTTTTATTTTTCTTTTTGTAATAATTTCAACAATATTTTATCATTATCTCATCAACAATGTAGTAATTTTT